TTAAAGTTTTGATTTGCACAATTTCTGAGAGCTCTACAGTAACTGTATATGGTAAATGACCAATACATGTCTAATGCCTACATATGGAAACCTGGGAAAGTCAAAAACCATTTCTTTGTTTCTATGATGTTGATGAACAATATTAACCGTTACCATTTTTTGCTTAAGAACTTGTGTTTTATAGTATTAAAAAAGAAAAAGAAAAAATGCAGCTAAAAGGTATAACCAAACTGGGGTTTGGTACAATGTGTATGAGAAGCCTAGACTTGTAATTTCGCAGTGCACTGTCACTGTCCCTGTGTGCACTGTAAGAACTAGAATGAGTCCTTAACCACTTTGCCATTTTTCTCCAGGCTTGGCAAGACCGTTGACAAAGAGAAGGTGACTACAGAAGGCTTCTCCAAATACTTCAGCCAGGCTGAGCCTGGGAAGAACACAGACAGCCAAACTGAAGAGACCTCTGGTGTGCAAAAGGAAGAGACACCTGTGAGAGCAAAGACCACGGGAGACAAGGAGGTTAAAAACTTTTAAAAAGATTTTGGACCAGTGTTTTAAACACTGGTGATGGATATGAATTACACTGTCTTACTACTAGTATACAGCATCTGTCCTTGGTGCTGATTGGTCTGCATATTCTTTAAACTTTATCTGTTCACATAGGTATATATATGTGCTGCTTTGGGAAAATTTGTTTTTCTTTGATATATGTAGACCAATGTTGTTATTCTTAACTGATTGATTGATTGGTTGGTTGGTTGATTGATTGATTGGTTCATTTATTGATTGACAAATGGCCTAGGAAAATCCTCACACTGGAAGAGGTAAGCCCAAAGTCTGGTGGTCAACCAAAGAAGAAATGGTTTGACTATGTTAGAGAGGACTTCCCCGACTTGAACCTACATAACATCAACCCACAGGATAGAGGCAAGTGGCGGGCTGCCATCAAGTCAAAATATTGCCGCAGTATGCAAGTATGTCTAACCCTTGGAAGTTGGGGAACAACAAACACTAAACCCGATAGTGAGGGAGTGATTGGTTGATTGATTGATTGATTGATAATTTGCTTCCCAGGTTGATGCGATTGTGTCCCAGGCTTCCCACCTGCAGCTGTCTCCTCCTCCTGCTGCCGCCGACAACGCTGAGGCTCATGGGAACAAACAGGCTAATCGGAAACTGCAGCTCAGCCCAGTAAGTTCATCTTCCCCCTCTCTTCTAATAGCGTTTTTATAGTCCAGTGGTTAGCAACCCTGCCTCTTAGAGTCTAGACTAACAAGTCTTGAGTTTGAATCTTGACTGTGTGCACTACTGGAAAGGGTCGGAGTCCATAGGATGTTAAGCTGTGGTCCACTGTTCACTGTACTTGTTGAAAAGATCTAAAGGAATTTCCCTGGTACAATGAATCTATATGGTACTGTTGAATTCTATGTTGATCTTGGCGATGAGATGTCCACAGACTTCTGAGATTAGTTGAAACCAGATAAAGTGTAATAACACTGTTGTTTTTATCCTGAGAAGTTTTGCCACTAGAGTACCTTTTAAATAGTTGTAGAAAACTCATAGTTCCAAACGTGGACATATTGAAGATTGCTTTCAATTGTCTTAATTTCAACAGGAGAAGGGTAGACAGTCCAGTAAGAAGGAGCGTAAGAACAGAGACACGTCCCATGACAGTATGGACATTTCCTCTCCCAAAACTCGAGGGAGAAAGAGGGTCTTCTCCCAGGCCAACAAGGTATGTTCTAAGCTATTGTTTTTGCTCTGTTTCCTCTTCTTCTCCAAACCAATAAGGTCAATGACCTGAACCAGACGTCTCTCACCATGGTTACTGGTGTTGCAATTTCGTAGCAGGAGGGATTTAGACTCCTGACAGACCATTTATACATGAATGTGTTTGAGTAAGAATTAACAGAGCAGACCATATGCGAAGGTAATTATAAACATTATGCATTTGCCTTGCAAATGTTACCTTTCTAGTTTATTTTTGTTATGATACTAGTATATAAATTGTACCACACTTTTTTTTACAGGATGAAGAGTTTGAGATCAGTTGTAGCCAGGACACGGAGCACAGTCGGACACAGCCCACCAGAAGCAGCAAACGTCGTAAGGCCAGCGTCACGGAGCGCGCCATCATGGTGTGATGCCCCCTGGCACAACAGTCCAGAACTGCAGCCACATGCTTCACTCAATATCTCTGTATTGAGGCTTTTTTTCATCTTTGAAGTTCTGCATCTTAACAGAATCTTTGACCATCCTTGAAAGCGGTAGATGCACCTTAAGCTTCATACTCTTAACTAAGACTTGACTTGGTTTGTTGCTGTTTTGTAGGAGTTGCACTGTAATAGAACTGTCATTCTGGGTTAACCAATAGGCAAAGAAGAAGTGTATATGACACAGTAAAAAGATGATGTACAGTTTCTCTAATTGTTTTGTTAGAAACCCCTTGACTGGAAAAGTTAGCATGAAAGAGTACCTACATAGTGTTAAGGGAAGAGTTGACTTCTGCATTTGTTATTCTTTCTCAAAACTTCAGCTAGTAAATCTGTTGAAGTCCATAGCAAGTTAAACAGGCATTGAATAGTTACGTTAATATATTGTTGTAAATATTTTGTTCTTGAACACTTTTTTCTTGAGGTTGGCACGGAATGCCAAATTATTTATTTGAACATTTGCATTAAGCAAAGCTATGTACCCTTGTTACATTTTAGTAATTCATGATAATCTTATCCTAACTTTGTCCTAACTTATCAGAAAAGTTACTATCAAAGTTGATGATATAGTAATTATATACAGGTGAGATAATGTGAGAAGATGGGACTACGGTATGTGAAAAGCATAAGAAGTTACTTTTGATTTAAGATGTTTGTTGAAAATGTGTCAATGACTTTTGATTGTGTGGTTGAATACAGACAACAGTGTTAGTGTTTCAACACAATATGCATACTTTATTGCACCAAAATGTTGAGTGAGTCACGTGAACAAATCAACACAGAAATAAACAGTGATAAATACATGATTTAGTATTTGAACACTATGTGCATATCTTATTGCACCGAAATGTTTGGTGAGTCAGGTGAACAAGTCAAGTTGAACACAAATGTTGCCACAGGAAAAACAGTGATAAATACATTATAAAAACTGCACAGCCCTTTATAAAATGTTATCATGATAGTTTTTAAAAGTTTCCAGTGTTTCAACACCATATGCATACTTTTTTTTGCACAGAAATGTTTTTGTGAGTCACATGAGCAAATGAACACAAATGTTGCCACAGAAAAACTGTGATAAATACTTTATACAAACTGCACAGCCCTTTATAAAATGTCATCATGATAAAGTCGTATTAGCTAAGAACGCGTTTCCATCTCGCCTGGAATAAAAAGACACACTTTAAAAAAAAATCCAGACAGTCTATTTTGTCTGGTTCTCTGTCCTCTAGTCGCCCCGTCCCTTCCTCCGGACGGCAGTCGGATACATGTTGCATTCTGTTTTCCAGAAGCTCTTGTTTAAAATAAGACATAATTCACAGAGAATCCAGTCACTTTGTCACTAGAAGCGTTTTGTTTCTGTGATGTAGTTTTGAGCGGCTAACACATACGTACAGTTTCACAGTTAGTTACTGTCAATCGATCAAACCAAACTGCCGCAAACTTGGAGAACTCTCTTTTTCCTCCTCTTCCTCCGAGTCGCTGTCCCGGCTGTCCGGTGGAAGCCTGATGTTCTGCAGGTTCTCGGCGCAGATGTGGCAGACGCGCACAGCCTTGTGCTGGACAACCTCCTTCCGGTTGGAGCAGTCTCCACAGACCACCCTGCCACAGCTGCGGCAGTGGTGCTGTGGGGGGAAGTGGGGGTCAGGCAAGAAATCAGAGGTTTTAGACTTAGTTAATGTTTTGGGTTTTTCATGAATGTATTACTAATATTGTGAAAGGGACTGTACTATTTAAGTTAATAGAAAATCACACTGAACTCCTCCCGTACACTGCCCAGCGTGCACCTCCCTATCATGAATCAACTGTCAAAATCACCTCCCACCCACAAAGCCTGCTTAGGTCAATAACTGTAAGTGCTTAACACACCATATACATCGAAGCTATATTAGAACACAAGCCCACAACACACACGGTCGCCTATAGCTAAAACAATACTTTGGTAGTAATCGAATAAAACTTTACAGACGCTGTGTGTGAGATACATTTCAATATGTCTACCGGCTCTACCCTATCTGATCCAAACTGTGTTCTTACTCTACTTTTTCAAACCCTTTTCTTACCCTTCTTTCTAACAGCGTGAACTTTGTCTGCAGACACCGCTGGCACACAGCTGCCTCCTCATCCGGCTGCCAGTCATACTGCCCCGCCTGTGCCGGGTTCCCTTCTGCCTCCTCCTGGGTCCCCGGGCCGGCTCCGGGCTTCTCAGGCGCTACCGTGCTTTCTCCGGACAGTCTCGCAGCAGATACTGGTCGAAAATTAAACAGTTTGAATGTCATTCGAGAATAGTTTCATTAGGTTGGCAAAGTCACTGAAGAAAGAGACGAAACGTCGGCTGAACAAAACACTTGGTGTGTGAAAAGCTAAGAATCATTTTGTTTAGTTTGTAAGTCACTTTATTTAGTTTGTAAGTCACTTTTGGCTTTTTATATGATGCAGTTTATGATGGCAAAATCTTTTCAGTCTGTAGAATATTATAGACATGTTTTAGATGTTTTACCAACTTGCGTTTGAGCGGTAAGAATCAAGTATTGATGTCATGAACGAACGAACGAACGAACGAACATACAAAAGAACGAACCACTAAAAGATAAAAATAAACAAAAGGAAAACATTTCATAAAGCAACTTATCATTGTTTCTCACCTCCAGTTGTTGATGAAGCGTGGCAAAGACCCATGACAGTTTCCAAACTCTCTTTTCAAGTCACCTGTCAGAGTTGTAGTTTGATATCATGCTGAAGACCACTCGGTCATCAAAAGGGTGCAGTTTCATAGATTACCGCTGGGTGGCGCTTCAATACCATCAGTAGCCTTGTCAACAAAATAGACAGGTGTATTATGAGTTGAACGATTTGTATACTTATGAACATACGATAAACACAATAACCAGAGCTAAAACACTCACATAGAAACGTAGCAGCGCTAAAAGATAACGTTACATGTAGCCCATGTCAAACACAGGTTTAACATGTTGACCACAGAAACCTGTGCATGTTGACTAGGCCACAATAACAATGTATTATCAATGATAATGTGCTAAAAATTGACCCTGCTCTATTCAATGTATCGATTGCAGACATGAGCAGTTTGTCTTTGTGCTAATTTGTAAGTTTAGCTGAGCTGTGTAGTCTATATGTAGTACAGGTATGTTGTTGCTATGCTTCCCTAATTATTAACGTGAGTGTACGTAGTAGGACGCCTAATTCTGGGAGTTGACTTTAAGCGAAGGGAGTGAAAAATGTCATAATATATTAAATATATAGCTGTTCCTAACCAAACCTTTTCCAACAAACTATTAGATTATAGGTATCAGCTAAACGACGGGAAAAAACAGGAATCAAAAGATATTTCGAAGACACAAACTCACCTGTGTTGGCGGCCATCTTTGATGACGTCAGACTGACAACAGACAGGACAGGTGAACGCTGTTGCTATGGAAACGGAGTGGGCGGTGCCCGTGGCGCGAAACGGGGGGTTGTAGAGCTCTATAGCATATGGCACAGAACGTTCTTCCGCCTACCGCCAACACATACGATTCTTAAAGCATCCAATGCGATTTTAGGGCAGCAAAACTGAAATATTCTGAATAAGGCGATCTGCTTCACATTTAAATCAGTATTTAATACTTTAGATATCTAAAACTGCAAAAAGCCCCAAGATGAGTCCTTTGTTTTAGGGGAGGTACCTTAAAAATCAACCCAGGGCCCTTCCAGTAACCATTTTCTGTCAGAATTTTGGGAATTTTTGCACCATGAGGGTCACAATATACACTGGGATAGTGTGGTTTCAACTCTGAACAACTTTGAAAAATCCGGTTTCCAAGCCCTAAAAATGCCCTGGATGCCTTTAATAGTTCGCCCCTTGGTCCTTACATATATTTATATATAAAGGCAGACGAGAAACGCACATGAAGTAGTTTGACATTTTATTTACACATTGCGTGGTCAAAACTGACAATGCAGTTGACAATCATTGAGCTAAAATACGTAATAAACTAGAAAGGTAACATTTGGAAAGCAAATGCATAATATTTACCTTAGCTTCGCATATGGTCTGCTCTGTTAATTCTTGATTCGATATGGTGACTAAATCCCCCTTGCTATAAAATTGCAACATGATGTAACCCAACACTAGAGTTACCATGGTGAGAAACGTCTGGTTCAGGTCATTGACCTTTTTTGGTTTGGAGAAGAAGAGGAAACGTAGCAAAAACAATATGTTTTCCTTCGGTAAACATAAATATAGATGTTGATATCCAGTCATATTATGTAAAAACAAACTGTGCTTAATACAAGCATATGTCACGCGTGCATTCAATATGGTTCGCATAACAGATATATAAGCAAGCAAATTTAACAAAAATATCAATACATATCAAAGCTGTGGTGATATCACTCAAGTGGCAAATATCTGCGGGCAAAATCCTAAAATCACACAATTTTTCTAGATATTAATCAATGTTTGAAGTGTTAATTCGCTGTATCATCATAATTTACCTAACATTTACCTAGTTCAAATTCTGTGCACTTAAAACTATATAAAAATACGAGGCCAAAATTTTGGCACTTGGGACCAAAAATATCTGTACATGTACATGTATATGATAGAGGTAGACCCAGTGAGTTATCTGATTTTGATAGCACCATATTTGGTTGTTGAAAAATATCTGTGACGTTTTATCAGTAGGATTTATCTGTTGGAATGCGCTCAAATTCCGCAGGGAGGCGTTTTTATCCGGCAGTATATCAGCTTTGTTGATATGACTCTTTCAATAGGCTTGTCAAAATAATATATCAGTGTCTAGAACAGATGTTTCTGTGCAGCAGGTGTAGCCTCGGTCGACTAGCTTGGTGTCCAGTCCATCGAGTTTGGGGCGGGTTTTCTTCGGGGCTGCAGGAGCTCTTCCCCGCCCGACTCAGCTAGGTTCCCCGGTAGGTTTTGCACGACGCGATGGGAGTTAAAGGCATCCAATGTAATTTCAGGGCGGCAAAACTGGACATAGTCTGAATAAGGCGATCATTGTGACATTGACACATACATGCTTCACTTTAGCACATTTCAGTCAGTATTTCATACTTTGGGCATTTAAAACTGCAGAAACAAGCCTCAAGATGAGTTTATTTTCTGGGTGGTACCCTAAAAATCAGCCCAGGGTCCTTCCAGTAACCATTTTCGGTCAGGTTTCCATGCCAGAAAACTAGACTGGATGCCTTTAAATTAGCAAACTCCTACAGGTGTAACACTCCTACCGGGCGGTCTGTTGAGCTGGAACTTGGGGGAAAAACTATTTATAGAGCCCCGAAGACAACCTGTCTCAACCACGATAGACTGAATACAAGACCTATCATTACTCCCGAGTCCTACATCCTCTCCTCAATTTTAGGATGTAGGACTCGGTAGCTATAATACGTCTGGTAACCAGGCTAGCCCCAACCACGATAGACTGGATACCAGGCTACGGTCACAGGCGCAGGTAGCCTCGTTCACAGGCGCTCCGGAGGCGGTTATGACGAATCCTGAGAAGCCCGGGGCGCTTCTGTGAGGAACTGCAGCTTGAACCTGGGTGAGATGTCCAGCCCCTCTCCCGCCTCCTCTCCTGTCAGCTGTGCACGTGTCGGGACAGAAAACAGATGGTTACTTCTTAAGTAATGTCCTGGGGCTTTGGATTGACTGTTTTATTTGAACACAAGATTACAACGGAATGACCGGTTTGAGAACAGCACAAGATTATAGTGCACTAGTGGAATGAACGCTTTGAGGAAAAATTCTAGGAGCCTTCCGGTACGCCCATTCCCTACGGCTAAATCAACCAGAGATATATCATATTGTCTTAGTTCTAACCTTTTGTGTCAAAAGGCAATTAATGCTATGATCTTTCAAATTTGCTCTTAAACAAATAGTGAATTTACTTTTTTAAAACTCTTTAAAATAATTACTTTAGTAACCTAGCTATAGCTAGACATGAAAAATGTTTCAAACGCTTTCAAATGAAAATATGTCTACACCGGGCCCACGATGTCAACGGTACTCAACCACTCCACTTTAATTAAAACGGACGAACTGCTTTTTGCAGCCAAATTTAACAAACCTCTGCTTCAGACTTTCCATCGTCGGGAAATTCTGCGTCCTTGGGCGCGAGGCCGCCGGGCGGGGTCCGGCCGGGCTCCTCCCGGATTGGTTGTACCGCTACCGGCTGGTCCGGCTGCGGTTCCACGTTCAGCTGGGTCCGTACGACCTGTGGGAGACTACAGTAGCCCCGGAGTCGCGGGTTCACAGCACCGCCGTTACACGTCACTCCCTCACAGTCACTGTTACTGTAGCAGTCCTGACCCTGTGGGTTAGTTAATAAGTTAATAAGTTAAGTTATTAACTTTCAGATAAAACCGTACGACCTGTGGGAGACTACAGTAGCCCCGGAGCCGCGGGTTCACAGCACCGCCGTTACACGTCACTCCCTCACAGTCACTGTTACTGTAGCAGTCCTGACCCTGTGGGTTAGTTAATAAGTTAATAAGTTAAGTTATTAACTTTCAGATAAAACCGTACAACCCGTGGCAGGCTACAGTAGCCTCTCAGTCGTGGGTTCACAGCACCGCCGATACACGTCACTCCCTCACAGTCACTGTTACTGTAGCAGTCCTGTCCCTGTGGGTTAGTTAATAAGTTAATAAGTAGATATTAACTTTCAGGTAAAGCTATGCGACCTGTGGCAGGCTACAGTAGCCCCGGAGCCGCGGGTTCACAGCACCACCGTTACACGTCACTCCCTCACAGTCACTGTTACTGTAGCAGTCCTGGCCCTGTGGTTAACATATTTGGTTAATAGGTTGATAAATAGTTATCAACATTCTGAAAAAACTGTGTCTTAGAAAGCTGCCACCTATTCCCATTCCATTTTACAGTATTTGGGTCTGAGCTTTTAAACTGTCATTTTGCCTGTCAATCTTCCCCCACTTTTTGTCAACCTGGTCTGTCCGGAAACACACCCACACACACACACACACACACACACACACACACACACACACACACACACACACACACACAGAGGGAGAGAGAGAGAGAGAGAGACAGAGACAGAGACAGACAGAGAGAGAGAGAGACAGACAGAGACAGACAGACAGACAGAGAGAGACAGAGACAGAGAACGGTAAAAAAAAGGTAAAGACGTACCAAGCAGTAGCCCTCCGTCCTGCCGGTCTGGTCGGAGCAGTACTCCCAGGGCGGGCAGCCGGACCGGTCCCCCCGGTTATCGTCTCCGAAGCACCGCTGGAGGCTGCCGAAAGGGTACCCTACCACCACGGGGTCGTACTGGGGCGGGATGGCGTTTAGTCTTTGCTGTGAGTGGAAGAGAGAAACGTATAGGTTAAAGCAACAAAAAGCAACAAAACTTTGCCACGCGTCTGTTAGCTAAAGACCACAGGGGTGTCCGTCCATGTATACGTATGTAGTATATTTAGTGCATCACCACATGAGACATCATGTCCTGCATCTATATGCAGGCAAACTGGACCCTCTATGGTCGGCTCCCTTGGCCAGTTACATTCCATTCCTATTCAGCCTGCATAAGAAGTCTGGTGGAGACTATCATTGTCGTGCAATAAAGTGCGATCTGTCCTCACAGTATCTGCTTGGAAATAAAAGCAAGCGCCAAGTTTATGTTCCTTCACGATCACCGCAAGCTCCTCCTCCCCCTCTCCCTACACACACCCCTCCCCCCTTACCGTGCAGAACCCCTGTTGAAGTTGACCTTGGAAGCTGCATATCTCGTCCACGGGGCAGTCCCGGTCCC